GAGGAGGAAGCATGATTGATGTGAAGACACTTAATACTAGAGCAGTTTTACTGTTAACAAATTGATAAATGTATATACTAATTAATATTCATTAAATGAAGAATTTTAATGTTATTCACTTTCTTTATACATATTTACCACATGTTCTACAATTCATATAATTGTATACATACATATGTAGGTTCTGTTTTCTGTAGTACAGATGGCTATAGGCAGGACGTTTGATTCAGACGCGTCTGGTAGTGGTCCGCATGGAGGTCGTGGCTGAGGACACAATACACGTGGATGAGGAGGGACTATCCCCCCTCCTTCTTCAGGTACGTCTGGGGCTTCATCCTCTACTTAACCTCCCGTGCCACCATCACTTCCTTCTGTTCCTTCCTCTTCTACCCCACTTCCTGAACCAGTAGAGTCTTCACCAGCTTCACAGTCACCTACTGCATTCTTCAGGTATGTCTAGGGCTTCATCCTCTGCTCGGTGACCAGTACTGCCTCCATCACTTCATTCTGCTCCTTCGTCTTCTACCCCCGTTTCTGGACCAGTACAGTCTCCACCAGCTGCACAGTCACCTACTGTGCAAGGTAATCATAAATGTCATTACTGTCATTTATATATTAATTATTTATCTGCATTTATAGCAATAGCATTTGTCACTTCTTTTGCAGCTTCATCAGATCCACGTATCAGCCTCAGTTTGGTAGCGGGACAGTAAGTACTTTTTCACTTTTTCCAAAGGCATATTTTGTTCAGATTGTGATGCTTTCGTCTAATTATATTTCACTTATATTTTTTTTCTCAGCATATATCAATCTTCTCAAGCAGCGAGGCAAATTATGAGGATAATCAAGCTACAGCTGCATAAAGAAGGATACAAATGGGATGCCGTATCACAAGAGGCGAGAGACTTTTATTGGGAGGAGTTTCAGGTACGCTTTGGTTTAAGTTATATTTAAGGTTATATCATCATTCAATTGTTTACAATTCAATTCAAGATACCTCCTTAGTATTGAAAACGCTATTTTTTTTCATTTTTTTTTTTGCAGAAACAATTTCGATATGGGACGGAGGCCATTACGGCTAATGCTGGAAAGTGGCCTGGGAGAATTATCGCTGAATCGATATGCCTGACTTCACCTATAGGATGAGAAGAAAGCGGTAAGAAGCAGTAGTGCGGTCTCAGAGAAGATATGGGAAGAAGCTGCAAAAGGCTTGGTGGAGGATCCTTGCATTCAAGAGAAAGCGGGAGATATTTGCACAAAACAGGCGCAGTGGGACTGCGGGTGATAGAGCAGGACCTTTTCTCGAACAACACAGGCGGATCAATATTTGCTATAGAGACATTCTCGATTATTAGTTAAAGTGAACTAGTCATAGTATTATGAAACTGATGTTTAATGAAAGGGGACACTATATATATATAATATATCTTGCATAAAAATTCATTACAGGCTAAAGAATTAGGTCGTGAGCCGAACACGTTGAAGTGTTTACATTTACACTCACAACGAATGACCACAATCCTTAATACGTTTTCGACAGACGTGCGAGTGGAGTGGGTCAATATAAGTAACAATGAATAATATTTACATTTAACCCTCTACTCGTTGCGAAGATGTACAAAGTTCAATATAATAAAGCTTGTAATTGCCCATGAATTAATTAATTTTTGTTTTCAGGAGAACTATTACTACAGCTCTGGAGCGTCTTGTTTTTCTTCAGACTGATGAATCTGAAGGCTGAGTTAAGAATTGACGAGCGGGGTAGCACTTTATCTCGAGGCTGTAGGGGCGAGAAGAAGAGGAAGGTATACGGCATCGGGTCTCAGGCATCACAGTTTTACTGCGGCTCAGCATCTCACGCTTTCTGCACCCAGCGCGACGACCACAGCCGAGCACCACTCCCGAGGAGTTACTTGAATATACAGGGCTCGTGGTGATGATCAGCAGAGACAGATTGCAGAGTTAGAGCGGCATGTTGATGCAGGCTGTCGATGAGCCCGGTGCTAGGTACATTCTTCCTCTGATTCCTGCGCCTGCGTACAGACCGAAACTTTGGACGTCTCAGCAGCAGCCACTATCGTTTCCTGATCCGATTTGCTGCAGACGATACCTTGTGACCCCTCCCGCACTACAGCACATCCAGCAGGTACTCCCTCCCGGCGATCGGACATTGGATCGCTGCCGGATAGCAATCACGCTAGATTTGATTTTTGGACCTTTTTAAGTTTTGCAGTTTGTTTTTGGACATTTTGTTCAAAGTTAACAATAACAATTACATTTTATATTGTTTTTGAGTTGTGTTATGTGATATATATATATATATATATATATATATATATATATATGCCAGTTTTCACATGATATATATATATATATATGCCAGTTTTCACAGGTGCAATTTAAAATTATGGTTTTATAATAATATTTATTTTTTTTATTTTTTTTTAATTTTGGGACCGATTTGCGACAAAAAATAAAAACTTTAAATTTACAATTTGCGACTGAATTTCACAATTGCGACAGACTCATTCTGCGACCAATTTGTGACAGCGTTTCCAACGACAAACACGACCAAATTTTGCGACCGATTTTTTTTTTTTTTGCGACTGAAATATCGGTCGCAAATTTGCGATTGACAAAAAAATCGGTCACCAAATTTTTTGCGACCAGTATTTTTGCGACCGATGAACATCGGTCGCAGATCGGTCGCTAAGCAAATTTAGCGACCGATTTCTTGCATTTTGCGACCGATTGGTCGGTTGCAAAATGCCGTTTTTTTTGTAGTGATCCAATGAAATCATATAAATATAAAAAAAGGAATATTAATAAAAAGAATATATTTTTTATTTCTCTTCGAAATAAATATTTTAAATTATAATTAAAATAGAATCAAATATTAAAAATAAAATATAAAAATGTTCAAACGTCTTCTTATTATATATTAAAAAAAAGATAAAACTTAAAATTTTGAAATGAGTATTTATTTAAAAAATAGATTTTATGAATATATTTCATCAACTAATAAAATGTAATATTCTAATTGGCTATGACTAAAGTTATTTTTGCATATTCTAAATTTTATTAAGAACATCTCGTTATGTCCCTCTATTCCCAACTTTGTATTTAGTATAGATAAATAGATATAGATATAGATTATTCTTCAATACTGGGATTTTCGGTTTCATTATTTTTTTTATTTAAGCAACAATTGTCAGTAATTAAAAGATCAATTGAATTCAATATATAAAGTAAACTAACTATGAAAAAGCCTCTTATTCAATTATAAAAAAAAAAAAGAAAGAAAAGAAAAAGTGATAATACATGTGGCATTTTTTTTGAAAGTAAGGGAACAAAAATGACATACCCAGTTCATGTCCCTATCTATGAATCAAACCAATCAAATTAATGAATTTAGTATTTTTATTGAAATGATGTATTTTTGACTACATACTTGGAAAAAAAGAATAAAATCGGAATACTTTTTAGAAAAATTTGAATTTTATTTATTTGATCTATAGATGGGGATATGAACGGGTTCTAGACATATTTTTTTCAAATATTAAAAGTTTGCTATCTTTGAAAGTTCAACACAACAAAAATTTACTAAACAATGCTCTACCTACGAGAGTAGGCATGGCCACCAGTTCATTTTGAACCGGAACCAAACCGTTTTGTAGATGAACCAAAATCAAATCGGAACCGTTCGGTTCAAAATTTTGAACGAAATCGACGGTTCAAGGGTCGGTTAAGATTCATGTAAATGTTAAAATTTGAAAATGAATCAGCCTGAATCGGTGATTAACTAGCGGTTTCGATCAGGTTCAAACCGAAAATTTTGTATTTTTATTTTCAAAATGATAACCACTTACTCTAATTTATACATCTCTAAAAGTCTCAATAATATTTTACTTAAGATTTTTTTTTTAAATACACTTTACTTTAAAATTTAAAAATTTTAAAAGTAAAATAGTAAAAAAAGAGAGAAATATGTAGTCTAAACTTATATTATTTATAACTTTTTTTTTTACCCTTTTAAATTGTTTACTAAGTTTAAAATTACATTCTTTTAAAGAAATTTTCTTATAACTTATTTAATTAATAACATTTAAACAAAATAAAGTGATAATTTATTTGATTATTTTGTAAATTTAATTAATTTTATTCTTATATGAGTATGAGCATTATTTGATTATTTTGTAAATTTTTAAGTAATTTATCTTATCATGAGTACTGACATTCTAAAATTTGTTTAAAACTAAAATTTACCAAGATTTTTTAAACTCATATTGAATATTTTCAAAAGAAAATCTGTACAGTTAGAACCGATTAAAAAAAAAAAAAAAACAATATCATCCTCAAAACGTGGGTCACGAACTGCGGTTCATCGGGAACGCGACCCTGAAAACCAAAACTGCACAATTTTATTCTTATATGAGTATGAGCATTCTAAAATTTGTTTAAAATAAAATTTACCAATATTTTTTAAACTCATATTAATATTTTCAAAAGAAAGATGTACATTAGAACCGATTTAAAAAAAAAAAAAACATATATCCTCAAAAACTGTGGTCAGAACTGTCGGTTCATCGGAATCGCACCTGAACCAAAACTGAATCGAAACTGACTGTTTAAGGGTTGATTCAAATTCAACATTTTAAAAATTTTGAACTAACCGAAGCCGGCATTTCAATAAATGCACCGGGCATGCCTATAGGAGAGCTTAACAAGTTCTTTCAAAGAAAGGAAAATAGCAAAAAAAATAAAATTTTGCTCTCGTTGGTAGTTGAACTCAAGACCTCCCAGTTACTAAACGGGTGCTCTAACCAACTGAGCTACGAGAGCGAACTGTTTTTTGTTGTATTAAGTTTAACAATTAAACAATAAAGTGGACAAGAAAACCAAAGCAACAAGATACCACTAAAAATTACTTTCGCGTTAATCGTCGAAACCTTCCGTTTTCTAACTATTTGCTTTAACCAACTGAACTACAAGAACCGATTCATTTATAAATTTGTTTCTATGTTTCTTTAAAATTAGAAATAGTCGGGATTTCATACCTGCATTTGTAAGTTGTAACTCGGTAACTCCATAGCCGAAATGAAATCCCTCAAACAAGTAAATCACCATCTTCAGTTCCTCTCAAACCCATCAAAACCCTTTGCAATCTACCCTTTCGCTCGACAATTCTGTGCATCATCTTCCTCAAGTGAAATAGAAAAATCAAAAAATTCAGAACTATCATTAACCCAACAAGAACTAACCAAAATTAACCTCTTAATACCTCGTCTATGTCTCTCAGACCATCTAACCACGGCAATCCACTTAACCACAACGTCCCTTCTCACAAACCCACCTCAAAAGTCCATTTCTTTTTCCATTCTCATTCACTTTCTCACTTCCCAACCTGACATGGCCAAATCCATGTCATTTCTCACCATTCTTAGGCACACCCCACAAGTCCATTGTCATCTTACACCTATCACTACAATGCTTATCACCTCTTATGTTAAAAAGAGGAGACCCAAAGAGGCTTTGAAAGTGTATCAATGGATGCAAAGGCCTGGGTCACCATGTAAAGTGGAAAGGATTGTGTATGAGGTTTTGGTTAACCGATTCTGTGGGTTTGGGTTGGTTCTTGAGGGTCTAAGGATTTTGAAGGATATGGTGGCTGTGGGTTTTGTGCCTAAGAATGGGCTGAGGAGAACGGTTTATAGGAGTTTGTTGAGGGAAGCTAGAGTAGGGAAGGCAGTGGAGTTGAACGAGGCTTTGTATGGTTGTTTTGAAGATGATAATGGTGAGGGTGTTAAGAAAGTGAGAGAATTGTTGGATTCTATTATTGGGAATTGGACAGAGTAAGAACAGGTAACTTAATTGATTTGTATCAACTTTCTGTTTATGCGAATATTATTTTTGTTTATCATTTGATTTGTTGAATATTTGATTTCTAGAATATATTATATGGTATTTACTAATTCTATATGCTCAAAACCGTCCCTTAATATTCAACGAGTAATGTTTTCTCTGTGATGATGAAGCTTTCATTTGGACTGAAACCTTGGCATGAACTAAAAAATAATAATATGGTATCCATTTCTCTGTTTCAGTAATTTAATTAATTATTTTTGTCCCCTTTGAGTTAGAAAGGAAGATTTTTAATAATGTGAAATCCTGGCCTAGTGGCCTGCTAATGTTTAAATGAGAAATACTGAAGTGTTTCTGGTTTTTTTTGTTAAATTAGACATCTTGATTTCAGAAACTCAACTATCAGTAAATTCGTTTTTTTCTCCCCCGGTCCTGTGATGCATGCCATTTCCTACCATAGAAAATTGGATAACGTTGTCTTCATTTATATTGAAAAGATTCTTATAGTTCTTTTGTTTTTGCTTCTTGGATATCTTAAGAGAACAGGTTATGGTTCGTTTTCCTTGAATTGAGCTGTTAATTGCATGGGAGGTCTGAATGTTGCCTATAGAAAAGACAACACAAGGAGCTATGCTCTGACAGTGTCATAAGTTCTTTGGTAAAACATCAAATAGCCGTTTAGGTTAATCCATTTGATGGTCAATAATAGGCTCATGAATAGGATAGCGTAACAATCCAGAAACTTGAGTATCATGTGGTAGAATAACAATTATAACCTGTGAGCTTGAACTGTCATCAGATTTGTATAATGTACTGAAAGTCTTGCTCATGCACCTGCAAATCTGGGCTATTCGTTTTTGTTTCTTCTTTGAAAAGATGATCCTTCTTAAGTTCATGTGCAAATGGCTAAAGCTACCTATCGTTACATTATAAATATTGACTATTTCTCTTTTTCTCCCCTCAACCTCCCCCCTCCACCCAATGGCTCCCTTTTCAACTCCATGTTTTGTTATTGAACTGTGAATTGTTGATTTTTCGTACCAATATCATGTTTCGTATCCACTAAAAGGTTGACTTTTTGTTTCTGTTGCAACTTTTGTATCAAATTCAAATGGGAAAAATGTTCATTTGCTACCTGTGGACATGAGATGGGTACAAATATGGCAGAGTTTCTTTATGTTTTATTAACTAAAGTATCGATTCATTTTCCTGGATAATGAAGAATTAAAAATGTCTATAGGCATTCTATTATATACAAAGTACATAGCCAAAATCTCATTTTGGCCAAACTGGCTTCAGCTTTTGGGAATCTGCTTAAACTCATTTTGGGCATCACTTGTGTGAGCCAAATTGACTCATTTGAATGTTCCAAACTACTTTCCTGCTCTTTTGAGTTGTATATTCTGTCAATTCTTGATAATAAGATTCGTCTCTCATTTGTTCTACATACTTCTGGGGCAATTTTCTCTCTTCCTGCAATTTGTATAATATTTTCATTCCTAGCTGCAAGTCATCATGCTTTGTTTCACCCCATTTTTTTTGGTCTTGACATTTTGTGCACTAATTTTGAAGCGAATATCGGTATCTATTTTAGAATTAGTTTTCTGCATTTTACAAACTCATAGTTTTTATTCACATTTTCTTCCTGCAGGTGATACAGTGAATTCTAGGACCTGCTACCCCTCCCTATTCTTCTTGCTTTTGGATTCTTCTCTTTGAACATCTTATATAGTGTCATCCAAGAATATTCACGTTTTAATTCCTGTGCTTTTGTAGAATATTTATCAAGTATCCAGTGTCCTTTTTTCTGACTTGTGCCTTCTTTGTCTTGGAGCTGTCAATAGGAAGCAATTTGCATGTTTCACAACTTGTATTGTGCTATAAAATTATAAGCATATGCCCTGTTGTATTTGATGGCTTTAATTTTCTGATTTGGTTGAGTTTGAAGTCCTATTTTTGCATATGTGGATGATCAATAGACAGATCCACTTAAGAGTAATATCCATATTAAATACATATAGGATATATCTTATCCTCAAACTCCAACTTGACCAATGTATATGAGGTATAGAAAGCAAAAAGAACTTAAACTGGGAAAATTGTTGATTATACACTGTTACATTTTTGCTGGTATTCTATCATTCTTGAATTATTTTTTGGCTGATTTTATTGGTTCCACATCATCGACGGTAAGATGGGCTTGACATTGTGGCTTTGTTTTCCCTTTTCATTTCCTGCTGTTGGGCTGTGATTTACATTTGGAATTTCCATCTTATTTCAAGGTGGTTCTGTTTGGGTGATGTATTAATGAAATCTACAGATAACTCTTTCCATTAATCTCTATGCTGAGAAGTGTTGAAGATGAATTATATGAAGATTGCTATTGGGTGAACTTATGGGCATAATTAAGCTCCAAAATGCCAAACATAGTCTGGGTTTGCAGCCTTTTTTTTTTTGGAAGACTGCATAATATCATTTATTTGTCACCTTGGGAGGGGAGTGCTGTAAATGAGTGGACCCAAGTGAACTTTGTTAAGCTCAAACTTGACTAAATAAAGGTATACTCCATCTCGATTTAAGCTTAGAAAACCAAACTCAAGCTCGGCTTGTTATTTATGGTAAAAAAAGAAATTTCCTTTTTAGAGGCTCAAACTCAAGTGGGACCTCCGGCTGCTTATTAAACAAAATTGATAAGCAGTCTTGAACTTGGCTTGTTAAGCTTATTCAACGAGTTGCTTTTTGAATCGAGCCTTAAACAGATCAAAGGTAGCATGCTCATTTATAGCAAAGGAAACAATAGGAAACAATTGGAAGAAGTATTTTCTTTCATTTTTTGCCATTTTCCTTGGTATTTATCTTCTTTCATTTCATTTCCTTCCCCCCTTTGGCATTTCGTTAATTTTTCCTGTAAATCATTCATGAATTATGTCTTAATAGAAATGGTAATGCAAATCCCTTGGGGGAAAAAAGAATAACTACATGTACTATAGCCATTAAGGTGTGAACTGCACTTGCCCTTAATGGTAATGCTGATGCATATTTAATTTGCGCAAAATCTGAAGTAGAATTCCATTTCCAATGCTACAAGAAAAGGAAAGAAGTGATTGATTTAGTTAAACTTATTTATGCACAGCATCAGAGTTAAATATAGGATTTAGATTTAATAAATATGCTGTTGGATTTAAAAGTATAAAGTTTATGGGGAGTCTAATTACTTTTATATAATGTTTAACAAATTTAATTTTAGTTACAATTGAATTTCACAATAGACTGAAAAATCACTGAAAAGATCAAAATACCCATAATTTTATATTGTAATTTAATTTATTCAATGAAAATATATGAAAAAAAGTTAATTTCTAATGACTTAATTGACTTCTATTTTGTTATATTACATTAGGGGCGAGTATTTGGTTTGATCAATTCGGTTAATTCGATTTCGATTAATTCGGTCAATTTGGTTCGGTGAATAAATGTTCGGTTAAAAGCTCAGTTAAAGAAAATTAAAATTTTGATGATCGGTTAAAAATTAATTTAACTGAATTAATTAAATTAATCGACTCTCAAAATTATTTCATTTTGATTAAGTAGATTATAAAATTAAAAATTAAAAATATTTCAGTTTTTATTTTGATTAAGTAGTAATTAAAAATTTCAGTTAATTTTCATTTTGATTAAGTCGATTAATCATAAATTTCAGTTGAATTCAGTCGGTTAATTAAAATTTTATTTTCTTTAACTTTGGTTCGATTAAGAATTAAAATTAATTCGGTCAAAAAGGTTCGGTTCATTTTGGTTAAAAAATTTTTTCGGTTAAGTAAAAAAATTTGATTAATTTATTTTGGTTAAAAATTTTACTCAAATTGACCGAGTTGACTGAATAATCATCCCTAAATTATATTTTTTTCGACTTACCTTCTTTTAATTTTTTAGTTTAAATAAATTTATAAATCTAAATGATCTTTAACGGTTTAATATAATGAATAATTTTTAGTTTAGATATTTCATTTGTAATAATGATGTGGTGGTGGTGGTGGTGGTAGTAGAGTGTTGTTTGAGGTGGTGGTGGTGGTGGTGGTGGTAGTGGTGATGGTGGTGTGACCAGTGGTGGTGACGGTGGTGGTGGTGGTGACGGTGGTGAAGGTGTGGTGACGGCGGTGCTGTAATTAGTGGTGGTAGTGTTTTAATTACATTACATTACATATTTAGAAACAAACATAAAAATGGAATGATGATTACATTTCATAAATTTTATCAATTATATTACCAAACATAGTAATGGAATCTTAATTACATTCCATTCCATTACAGCCACCACCTCAAATACCACTCCACCATCACCATATCATTATTAATACAAAAAAGTGTGGTGACGGCGGTTGCCTGTAATTAGTGTGCCGTAGGTTCTTAATACATTACATACATACTTTAGAAACAAACATAAACATGGTCAATGCATGATTCAGCATTTCATAAATTTTATCAAATTATATTAAACCAAACATATAATGGAAAAATGCCTTAATTACATTCCATTCCATTACAGCCACCGCACCGCAATACCACTCCACCGAATCACCAAATCATTCATTAATTAACAAAAGCAAATATAATTAAACCTAAAAACTATCATTATATTTAAGCTATTAAAGACCTATTCTCAGATTTAAAATTTACTTTGAATAAAAAAATTAAAAGACTATTTAGATTTATAAATTTATTTGAATAAAAAAATTAAAAGAAGGTAAACTAAAAAAAGTGTAATGTAATAAAAGTTAAAATCATTAGAAATTAATTTTTTCCATATATTTTCGTTGAATAAATTAAATTACAATATAATATTACGAGTATTTTAATCTTTTTAGTGATTTTTTTATTTTATTCTTCTCATTCCTACAATAAAATAAAAAAATAAAAAATAATTTTTATCATGTGATGGTAGTGGTGATGGTGGAGATGGTGGTAGAGGTGGTGGAGCAGTGGTCAAGCGGTGGTGGTAGTGGTGACGCTATGGTGGTGATAGAGTGGTTTAGGTGGTGGAGCGGTGGTGGAAGGGTGATGATGATTGTGGTGGTTGAGGTGGTAGTGTTAAATAGCCTGTAATGGTAAAGTTTTTATTTGGGTAGTTTGATGTAATTGATATTACATATGCTTGATGTAATAAACAATATATGTATTTAGATGTAATGAATATTACATCCATTTTGAGTAATGAAGATTACACATGTAATCTCAATTACATTACATTGTGCAAACAAAGTCTAACCAAATAATCTAATCATGTAATCTAATCCCCATTCCATTAGATGGTTAATCACATCATAGCAAACATGGCCTAAGATCATAAGAGCTAGTGTGCAACCTTATTACAATCTCTAGAAACATTAACACAATGAAATTGACTAAAATTATTAGCTAAGGAGACTAAATTCAAAAGCTTTGTCTCATAATCTATTTTCGAAAGATTTCAAGAAGTAAAGTGCTGGATTAAAATCAAAGAATTTGATTCTAGAACAACAAAATGGAATCCCAAGAGCTTTTGTAACCCCAAAAATGGCAATGTTAAGTTCTGCCTCTTAAGAAGAGAACAACAAACTGCAGAAACTAAATCCCAATCCCATCAGTTGCCTTCCTCATTTCCAATAACAAATCTAACACCAAAACCTTAGCCCTTCTTAATAGTTGTGTCCGTGTTAATCTTATACCAACATGATGATGGAGGGCTCCAAAACTAAGGTTCTCAGTCTCTCCGTTCCCTCTGCTTCCCATGATTGACATGTTAATATTTAAATAAATTGCCTAAAATCAAATTTATGATTTGCTCCGCTGATAAACTAATTTGCTGAAATTCAAGCAAATTTCTCACTCTCCATAATGCCCAAGATACCATTGAAAAAATTCTCTAATTGCTCTTTAAATAAGTCAGAGCAGATTATAGCAAAACCAATTCTTAAAGTTATCCACTCTTATTGCATCTACCTAAATTCTTAACGGAAAATGGATGCATACTGTTAATATACAATAATATATATCAGGAAATAAAATAAAAGGTTGTATTTTCCTAAATAAACTCTAACTAACAGATAAACTAGGATTTTCACTATCCTTATCCAACCATAATTATCTCTCCACCAATATAAACATTCTCAATTAATCCTACGAGGAGCTAATTCACAATTTATTCACTACTTAATTTCTGAGAGTTCAACAATTGGTGCGGTGAGCATGGAACGCACCTTCTAACCCTAAAAAATAAAAAAATCCTTTAACTTTTTTCCTTTTCGATATGATGGCTAACGATTCCACTAAGTATCTCAATCCAAAAGGCCAGGGCAACACCCACGGTGGAGTAACAGAGCAACCTATGCTAACCCCTCCATCAGCTACTGAACCCCAAGTATTGCCGCCTTGGCCCAAGCATATTCACAATTCACCACCGTCCTCAAATGCATCCTAGAGACCCCCCACCCTAATGGCGACTGGATACCGCCAAGCAAACCAATGAGTTCTCATCACCAAGAACATAGCATACCTCAAACATCACCTAAATCATGAAACCATCCATTATCTGAACAATACCATAAAGCGGAGTTGGAGACAAACCCCAATGTAACAGCTCCTTATAACCAAGACCCGTGCCATAACCAACCAGTTCTAAGTAGTGCTAATCTTCGTAATGTTGTCAAAGAGCTGGTTAGGAAATGTCGAGGGACAGGAGAAGCAGGGGATTATGGTCTCTGATAGGATTTATTGTTGTTAACTAATATTTTGGGTGTAGCCTTTTCCCCAAAATTCAAGATTCCTACCTTCCAACTGTATGACGGATCTATAGATCCCCAAAGTCATCCGACGACCTTCCAAACTATAATGTACCTTCAAACCAACTCGAAAGATCTTATGTGTAAGGTCTTCCAATTACCTTGAAAGGAGCAACTCAAGAATGAAACCAAACACTTGAAAA